TCCATTTACCCCTCTACAAAAAGAAGGGAGCCAAAGTACAAAATGAGTCTTCAATAAAAAATAGAATCTGGTAAGGCTTTTTCATAAAAAGCCTTATATATGGAAATTTGTTTCATGTGGGTTGGATCACATTTCTACATAATAGAATTATTGTTTCTTAAGATATATATATATATATATATGGAGAATTCATCCTATAGGACCCTCCCCCACCCATGTATGTAGGACCCTATAGGATCACCATTAAATTTGACACGGATTTATAGAAAAGTCAAGTCCCACACTCATGTGATAACTTTTCTAGACATCCGTGCTAACTTTAATGGTGATCCTTTGGGGTCCTACACACATGGGTGGGGGAGGGTTCTATAGGATCATTATTTATATATATATATGGAAGAGACTACAAAACGCCTATGGGCGAAAATGAACTCGGCCGGCATGGATTAAAAGATTGCCACGGACATAACATGTCCGTGGTGGTATTTTTTCACGCAAAAAAATATGGGCACCCGCCATAGCTCTCATAGATCCATGGCGTTTTTTAAGGCAAACCGCCACGGACATAGCATGTCTATGGAGTTATTTTTTTGCGCAAAACAATATGGGCACTTACCACAGTTCTCGTTGGTTCGTGGCGGTTTTTAAAGCAAATCCGCCGCTGCAAAACACTATTCAATTTCACCTATAGGCGTTTTAAGAGTTTGTTATATATATATATATATATATATATATATAACCTTATGAACTTGATTTTAATGAACAAAGAATCCCTACAAAATCAAGGCCTATTCAAATGAATAGCAAACTTTTGGAAATCTGCAAAGCAGAGATACAAGATTAGCTTAATAGGGAGCTTATTGGAAAAAGCTACTCTCTTTGGAGCTGCTCAGTTTTCTATGTTGAGAAAGCCACTGGAATGGAAAGAGGAGCTCCCAGATTAGTTATTAATTGTAAGCCTTTGAACAAGGCTCTAAGATGGATCAGATATCCAATTCCAAACAAAAAAGATCTTTTTGATAGATTGGTTGATATTTGCATATTGTCAAAATTTGATTTAGAATTTGGATATTGGCAAATTCAGATTGCTGAGAAAGATAGATGTAAAACGGCTTTTACTGTTCCCTCTGGACACTACGAATGGAATGCAATACTGTTTGGATTAAAAATTCTCCTTATGAATTTCAGAATATCATGAATGATATTTTTAACCCCTATACCAAATTTATGATCGTTTATATTGAGAGGAAATAATTATAGATAATGTAGAAAAACAAATACAGAACTGGAACATCCCTAAGGTCCCAGCTCATGATGTTTACAAAAAGGGAACTTTTGATTTTAAAAGTGATTTTTCAATTAAAACAATTGAAAGAACAAATTTTGTCATGGAAACTTAGGATAGTTTCGAACTCCTATCTGATAGAATGATAGAAGAACTTCAAAGAAAAAATTTCAATCATTTGCATATTGGGTTGGTCCAAGTGGCGATCAAACCCTTGACCAGAATTGGGTTAAACAACTCTGTTTTACTTTGCCTTAGAGATAATAGACATAAGCGGTTCACTGATTTTCTGTTGGGAATTGTTGAATCAAGTTTATGCAATGGCCCTATTTATTTCAATTGTTTTCCAAACTTTTATGTGGCCTTTTCAGACCAAACCTTTTAAAGGTTTTAACTTTAAACCTAAAAATCCAAGGGTCCGGGATCCCTAAACCTTGATTTTGTTTATAGAATCTGTTACAAGGTTATGAATACCTTATGCCCTAATGCTAGGCAAATGGACACTAAAGGCGAAACTGTATTTTTTTCTGACAAACGTCGAAAAGTCTAATCTTGTGATACCTAAAACGATATCTTGGAGGCAGATTACTTTACAAGAAAGGTGGTCTCTCTATTCTGAAACTCAGCCAAGAGTTTTTGTAAACAAAGAACCTGAACAAATTGTTAAGTATCCTGATGGTGAGATTGAAATACAATTTCCATCATCCAGAAAGATGAGGCTAAATATAGCTAATCCTCCTCCTAGGGTACCTTCTAGGGTCTCTACCTCATTTGTTCCTCAAACTGAGAATTTTTGCAAGGCCGGCAGGAGGCAAAAAAAACAACCAATGGACATAGTTCCAAGCCCAAGTAAAAATTTGACAACTTCAGCTAGATCACCAAATGCCTTAATAGGAAGGCAAAATAAAGAGATTGAAATATCTTATCGACAATCCCCCCCCCATCCTCCCCCCAAAGACTTATAGCCCAATTCAAAGTCCTAATAGGACACCTTTTGTGGATACTGCATATATACCTCTAATGGTTATAGAGGATGATCACAGGGTATAGCCCCTACTGAGATAGCAGCACTATATTTAATAAACCATATGCATCCAAATAAGGGAGAAAGATGCAGAGAATATTACGAAGCCTTCTTGATGGAACCATGATCAGTAACTATAGTTCATAACTATAGAAATAATAGAAATAATGATTCTCAAATTGCTTTTTCAAAGCTCCTAATACATAAGATTATCTCTTATAGAGATTGGGGTCTTGATCTTTTGAAACCAAGGATTCTCAATACAAAAGGTTTTAAAGTCAAAACTTATCATTACTTTGAATATATCAAAGCTTGGGATGGAATTTTTGCTTAGCAGAATCTTAAAAATGCTCATTGTTTGTATATCCAGTTTAAACTTAATGCATTTACTGAATTCCCAAATTGGTTCAAAAATTGGTTTTCTCTGTGGGGATCATGTACAAAAATCCTCCCTGATGAGTTACAAATTTTGTAGAAAAAATTCGTTGACTTTAATAGGCATTTTCCTAAAAGAAATTATCACATATATTTTATGGCTTTATATCAAGTTCCTTGGATCCTAAAATGGTTGTACCAAATTACCGAGGACAATGATGATAGTTGGGATTATATCCCTGAACTTCATAGACAAATTTCGGTGAAATGGTGGGATAATTATAAAAGCACTTCTTTAAAACCAGAGAATCTCGAGCTTAAAATAGTTTCATCCCCTCAAAATCATGAAAATTCTCAAATTGAGCTTATGGATTACGTAGTAATGATGCAACAACCAAATCCTAAGCTATCCAAGGCAGAACTTAAGATAAAACTACTGATGGCACTGGAAGAAGAAGAGAACGATAGTATGTCAACACCAGCAAACGAAGAAGATGAAGACGACGACTATAGCCCCCTAAATGGGGATGGCTGTGCGGGAATCAACTTTTCTCCTAAAAAACAAAAATAAAGTGGCTAAGAATTGTGCTTTAAGAAAAGCACCTACTTTATTAAAGCAAGGGATGGTACTACTCCAACCTTATCCAGGAAACGTGTCCCAAAGGAATCTAATTTCATTTGAAGATACTGTAGCAATAATTGTACAAGTTACTGTAGCAACCTCTTCTTCCACTGTTCAAGATTCTCCACCAACTTACTGTGCGGACTTACAAGGATTTGAAGTCCCATTGACATACTATTATGGATTTGAGGGTTTGAAATCCGGTATCCTAGTCTATAAAGGCAGGCCTCACCTCAAAAGTAGGCAGTTCGAGCTTAGCCTAGAGATGGTAGTTTGAGTTTTTCTCTGAGTGTGTTTTCTCTTCTCTCTCTCTCTCTCTATATATATATATCTGGTGGTGTGTCCATTTCCTTCTCTACAGTCTGCCTCCAGAAGGCGCTTGTGCTATGTAAGTGTGTATTAAGTTTGTGTTTGTTTATGTATGAAGCTTATGTTTGCTTTATATGAATTTTATATGTAGTTTGTGCCAAGTTTGTATTTGTTTATGTAGGAAGCGTATGTTTGCTTTAAGAATTTTCTATGTAGTTTGTGCCACCCGCATTACTTATTTGCTTTAGGTCAATTTTTTATTATCCAATCTTCGGTATCCAGCACTATCCCATTTCAAGTGGTCCATCTAAAAACAATTGAAACTACTGGTCCAAATGTTTTATTTATAGGATTATTGTTTCTGATTTTCAAAATTTATTTATTTATTCATATTCATGATCTCCATGTTACATATTACATGTCCTTAAAAGTTAAGTCCACAAATCCATCTCAAAAATAGATTCTTAAGAGGCGCGTCATTTCTACATGGACTCATAGAAACCGGGTCATATATATATATATATATAAATATAAAGAAGACGAACTCCAAGTGTTCGATGCGAGGTCTCTCTCTTTCTCACACATACAGACCCATATGCTCTCTCTCTCTCTGTCTACATGTAAGAAAAAAGAAAAAAGGTGACCTCCAAGTGTTTGATGTGAGGCCCTTCTCTCTCTCTCATTCATGGACCCATATGCTCTCTCTCTCTACATATAAGAAGAGGACAAAGAAGAAAGCCTCCGAGTGTTCAATGTGAGGGCTATCCCTCTCTCTCTTTTTCCGTGTTCACTGCAGACCTTTCTCTCTTAGACACACAACACACAAAAACCCATATGTTCTCTCTACATAAAAGAAGACGAAGAAGATGTGTTTGATGTGAGGCCCCTCTCTCTCTCAGATTCAAATGCTCTCCCTCTCTCTACATATAAGAAGTCGAAAAAGGAGACGAACTTCGAGTGGGCGATGAGAGACCTCTCCCTCTCTCTCACAAACCCATATGCTCTCTCTCTACATATAAAAAAAGAAAAATAAAAGAAAAAAAGGAAGACTGACCTCCAAATGTTCGATGTGAGGCATCACACATGCAGACCCCTTTGCTCTCTCTCTAAATATAACAACCATCACCACCCTTCTGCCCCCCTCCCCCCTCCCAACACACACACACACACACACAAAAAACGAGAAATAAACCAACCCGCACCCCCGCCACTTTAGTGGTTCCCAAGTACCTGGGTATCAACCTAGGCAGCCAATATGCATTGTACAACATTGCAGCTTTCTTTGCTTCTCTACGTCTTTGTTTTCTTCACTTGTAATTATATGTTGGTTTCTGTGGTCTTTATAACATGGCAATGATATGTCCTATGTTGCCATTATACTTCAGGCTTTACCTGACAGTCTTCGTGAATCATCATGGACTTGCATGTTAAACTTCAAGGAAGCAGTATACCCAGTTGCATTTCAGGTACACATGGACTTTCCAATTTTAGTACTTCTCAGTTCATATTGAGCGATACTCTGCTTCACCTGATAAGTTTCATAAAACATGGCAAGTCTGGAAGTGAGGGAGTGAGATCACTAGCAGTGAGGTTTGTTGAAGCGACAATTCTCCTTTTCACACCTGATCCTAATGCGTCCTCACGACCTGTGCCTCCTGAAGGTGGTGGTAAGAATGTATCAGTTTTTGCAATTCCAATTTACTGTGCTTGCAATTTTCCTATTGTTGAGCAAAATATGACTATTGTGTGGTTTACCAGAAAACTGAATAGGATGGTTTGGTATATGGCAGGAAAATCGGAAGGTTTCAGTATATCGTGGATACAGGGAGGTCTTCCTCTGCTTGCAGCCGCAGATTTGGCATTAGAAGCTAGCAAAAACTTGGGGATGTTGTTGGATTTGCTTCGGTCTCCATCTGTAAGGGGACTCCCTTACTCAGTTATTTTTGTCCTAATAAATAGGTGCGCACTTCTCTGTCCTTCTTCTATATTGATTTATTTTAGTCTTTCCATGTGATCAGTGTACGAAAGATCGAAACGGATCGGTCTAAGCATCCAATGGAGGGAAGCTCTAGATATATTAACGCATGATGTGCCCACCTCAAATAATGTGCTCAATTTTCTCTATAATCTTTTCTGCAAATATCCTGACTCATGGTGTGGCCTCCTTGTAACATTCAAGGAGTCCCTTTAGCAGTCTGGTGATCTGACATGATTTTCACCAGTCTCTTATCTTGTTATTGTTCTCTTCCCATCCCGCCTTTACCTTATCCATTGCCCTCTCTCTCTCTCT